TACAAAAACAACTAGTAAAACGTTATTTTTTTATTAAAACACATTATAGAGTTTACACTAAAAAATATTAAAATTAAATTATTTTTTTTTGTAAAAAAATACAAATAATATATAATGAATTAATAGTATATTCTGAGATAAAATAAAGAATATGAAGTTACAATTTTTTAATCTTCAATTTTGTTAAATAAAGTATGTATTAAAAATGAAATTCAAAATCAATATAATTTATACATATATATATTTATTGTTTTGTATAAATACTATTTAATCCGGCATATTATTACTCTAAATCTAACTTTATATTTTTTAATATTTTTGCATATATATTATGTATTTTATATAATAAAAATACGTTGATACAATAATATATATAAAATATTTTATATTATATATTCGACTATTCTGAATTAATAAAATACCACTTATGAATGCGTATAATATATTTATGTTATAAATATTTGTGTATTTGTTTCTCATACATTACACATAATAATAATTTACTATGTATTCATAAATATAAATTAAATGCTATATATATATAAATATATAAAATATATTATGATTATCACCTGCAATATTTAAGTCATGAAATCACACGTATAGTTTGATAGTAATGTGTGACAATAAATGCATATTTTTGTGCAAGCCGTTAATAATAACAACAATAAAAAAATATTTAAATGAACAAAAATAAATTTTTTCATATATAATTAAGTGATATAATATAAAAATACTATATCATATTTTATACATTTCATGGACGTTATGAAATATCTTAGAATTACGAAATATATAAATTCTTATTTATATATTTAATGCATTATTCTATGTGTAGTAAAATTCATACATTTCACATAATTATATTTATTAAATATCAAGATAATAAAAATATGTTGTCCTTAATAAAAATTATATTTTAATATAAAAATTTATAATTTTCTTTGTTTGCTATAAAAATTCATTCATTATTAATTTCATTTATTTAATGCTTATAAAATGGATAATTATGTACGCACATTTATTTATATTTACTATAACTTAGCACCTGATAAAAAGAAGAGAATAAAAAATAAATACTTATGCTAAAAAATTTATTTAATATATTGTTTATCAATTGTCATTTGAAAAAATGTAAGATAATGTTAAAATATTAATTTAATGGGCACATAATGAACATTTGGTTATTAATATTTAAAACTTTTTTTCCTTAATAGCATAAAAAATAGTATTTATACATTCAGATTTATGGTAATAATATTTGGAAAAATAAGAATTTATAGAAAAAAAATATATTTTATAATTTATATTTAATACGAACTTTTGGAAAAATATTGTAATTTATCAAAAATACTAATGAACTGTTTTTACTACTAGAGAAACCATATGAAAAACTTATTTTATTAGATATAATTAGGAATAATTATAAATTCCATGTTTTAAGTGTGTAGAAAATATTCTCTTTTAATATTTTTTATAATATTCATTTATTCTGATGTTATAATATTTGCAAAATAATATCATAATTGTATTTAAATATAAGGATATATACACCTGTTAATTTTAGTGTTTGTAACTCAACTAATTAAATAAAAATAATAAATATCTAATAATTTTATCTATGTTATTTTCGGAATAGATCTTATTTATAACACGACTAAAAAATATTATATTTTATCCATAAATTTCGTAAATTATATTAAACAATACGGATTGTATACTATTATTTAATCTATTATATTTTATATAAAAAATATATTCATTCGGATTAGTTTAACTAAAAGAAAGATCAAAAACTCTTAAAAAAAGAGAATATAATTATTATTTAATATTATATTAAATTATTTATGTTATTATTATTAATATATCTTGAAGCTTCATAGATAGAAAATAATTTGAAAAATGTTTATTTTCGTAAAATTCAAAGGACCCTTTTCTAAGATAGAAAGGTTCTAATTTTATTATATATAATGAATATTATACAATAGAAAATAATTCATATGAAATTAATGATTTTCGTCATTATATAATTAAAAATATTTTATAAATATATAATACACTTAATATTAATATTATTTTATCTTAGGACAATGAATTTATGATTAACTATATAAAAAATAAGAAAAAACAATATTTCTTAGAGATATTTTGCAGACATCCTGTTATCATACTTACAGAAAAATATAATTTTCATTGATAACATATTTATGCATAAATATGCTAAAAAATATAATGTTATGTATGTCCTTACTTGTCACTGCTGCATAGACTATTAAATATTGAGTGCACTTATGAGTAAAATTAATATATATATCATTTTTTTATTCCTCATACTTCTGTATTTCTGGAGAAAATTTACTTTGTCGATGTTTCATTTAATAATCTAAGATATGACAGCATAAAGATAATGTACGTAGGATAAATAATTTTTATATTATATATTGTCACTATGATAATATAATTAATTCGTTATAATTTTATATAATAACAATTTATAATAAAACACCACATATACCTTAAAGTGTGGGTAAATTCAATAACAGGTATAAAAATATATTATATGTTACTTATAGAAAATGATAAATTGTTAACTAATTAATAATATGTTGTCCTTATATTCAAATAAGTGTTCAGAATCATTAGCATAATGTCAAATAAAAAATATTAATAATATTAATAAATCATGCATAAATATGAGTTATATATTTAATAACATCTTACATATAGTAAGAAAAGAAGATATTATTTTATTAAGTTCAATAATAATGGGAGTAATTGCGTAAAAATATAAAATATATTCCTAAATTACAAGAAATATTTATGCATAAATGAAGTTTATTCGAAAATTCTAAAAAATAATACTAGCATATAAAACTCTTAAAGATGAATTATATTGAAATATAGTTTTTAAATATAAAAAAAGTAAATCAAATATATATTATATCTTAATTTATAATTTTGTAAATCTGAACTATATAAGGTGCTTATATAAGAAGATATTAGTTTTTTATTTATTATTCCTTATTATATAATTCCCATGGTGACGTTAAACACTCTCATTATTTTACATCTATAAGTTCGTATATAAAACATATTTAGAGCACATCAATATTTCATATTGCCTTGTTTTATTTATTTGTAATAGGATATAGTTTAATGAAACTAATGTACTTAATATAATATGTTTAATTAAGTATTCAGTATTCCTTTTCACTCCTCATCATAAGAGTATTCCAAAATCTAAAAAACAGGCGAGACTTTTTTTATAGGATAACACATTTATAAATATATAAAAAAAAATGTACTGGATAAATACGTGAATAAAAAAATGATACACTTATATGATCATTTTACATATAACCTCAATACAGGAACATCTATTTCTATAATTAATGAACTATGTATATTATTAAGTTAGAAAATGGATATCTTTAAAATAATATTACAGTATAAAAAAGTAGCATTCTTTTTTTTTGTGCTTTAATATATTTTATATTTTTCATATAATAATATGCTTATGTACATATCTATTATTTTTATTTATTATAATGTAACTTCGTGCTAACTCATTCTGTCAATAAAATACTATACAACAAATCAGGAATACATATGTCATTATTATTAATTTTTGTGTAATTATGTTATGTAATTTTCTAACGCATATATTAATTTCTTATATATAATTAATTTTATATTAACATGAACTAATTTTAAACATCATCAATCCTATTATTCTAATAAATTAATGGAACATAATATCATAAATAAAAAATAATTCTCTAATATTTTATTATTAAGATAAAAACAAATTTTTATTAATAGTACGTTCATAAATAATTCAGTTTATATAACTAATATAATGAAATGTAAAACTAGATTATTATATAGTGGTATAATATAATATTATTTCTATTTCAATAAAAATTTAAAACTTTTTTATGTCTGAGATATATAGATTTAATATGCTCCTTATATATATGATTTTTAAATATTTGTTGTAATCATCTTATTAATTCAAGTTTATTATTCACATAACAATTAACTAAATTTTTTTTTCAATTATTTTATCCTACTTTGAAATATATTTATTTCAAAAAGAAATAATACAAAAAAAAAATTTTTTAATAATCACATAAAGCAATATGTGTTATAATCATTATGAAATATGTATTTTGTGAATTGTTTTCCAAAAAAAACAAAATAAGATTAACACCTATATTATTTCTAATTTATATATAAAATACATATTGTATATGTTTTTATATTTCACAATTAACATAATTTCTTTAGGATATGGGGCAAGAATTATTTTAGTATATTAAAGCGCGTACAAAATAATAATATAAAATAAAATTATGAATTTATTTTACATTGATCATTAACATTAATAATAATAAAAATAAATATACTACATAAATACATTTAATATTAGAGATTATTTAATAATAGTAATATTAATTCATTTTATTACTTAACCCATAAAACAAGAATTCGTTAAATTTATAAAACTTTTGTGAGTATGATACATAATGTAAAATTTTAATATTAAATAATTTTTTTTATGCATAATGGCTATTTATGTAATGCGTTTATATGCTATAATAATCTATCATTATTACATTTAAAATTAAATATGTATAAATTTAATTAAATACTTATTTTTAATATAGGATATATCATACTAATTTGTATATAATAATAAATTTTTTGCAATTTATGTATATATTAATTAAATATAAATTATAAAAAAATTAATTTGTTTTGTATTTTCATTTCTTATTATATTTTAAGAAGATATTATGAAAATACTATTATATAGGAAATAATTCGTAAAATTAAGGTATTCGTAAGAAAAATCAAAATATTTATAAGAAAAGTATATCAAAAATCCTGATCTTGAAGCCTATTAAAATAAAATATTTTTTTTATAATTTCAATGAATATGAAATAATTACAAAACGATTAATATATTTTTCTGGAAATCACTTACTTAAAACATTATGGATAGTAGTGTAAGTGTAAATAATGATGTATTTTCTTTTTTATTTTAAACTACATATATTTAAATTATCGTTATTTTTGAAAAAGATACTCAAATGCCTCCCTATATATATGATTTATGTTTTATATACATTTCATGTCTTTCTTTTGTAGATCGATTTCAATAGTATATATCCTAAATGCAAAAATGAGTATGAAGAAGCAAAGAATATTTATCGTAATGGTACCCCAGAAAATACCAGTTTGGGGTTTGCGTGCAGGGACATTTGTCAAGAATTAACCGGAAATAGAGGTATGTGTGGTTTTTATATAGACTGCTTATATACTGGTAGTTATTTATTTCATATAAAAAATAATGCAAATATTAAAAAAGAAGAAAGTTGTTCGTATTACAATTATAAGCTAAATAAAATTTTTAAAAATTTTAGTACAACGTGCACCAATAATGAACAAAATTGCTACAATAAAATAACAAGCAATAGAACGAATGTAAGAATTAATATACCTGATATATGCAAAGATCATATAAAAAAACTTGAACAGGGGACATATGAAATATTTAATTTCATGGATGAGTTATATATGTATTTATATAAAATACCAAGTGGTTATTACATATGTCATTATAGGGAACCCTGTGTTAAGATATATAATAATCTTTTAAATAAAAGAAAGATATTACAAACTCAAAATGACAGTATTTACAATTTGCTCGATAGTTTTAGCAAATTATATAATAACTATAAAAATCACGGTTATTACTGCAGACGAGCTCAAAATATATTAGATTCCCCTTATGAAAGGGATAGAATGTTGCTTCAAGAGGATGAGTCAAGGAAAAAAATACAAGAGAGAAATGAGAAAACAGAAAAAGCTCAGGACATAGACCAGGTCCAAGAGATGACATCATCTACGGTCCAACAGGTGACATCAGAACTTGTCACACAGGTTGACACAGGAACACTGACAGGAATAACATTTTTAATAATTACAGTTGCTACAATTATATTTTTTATTTATAAGGTTAAATATAAGTTTAATATACTAAATGTTTGTTATAAAATAAATTATGACACACATTTTAAAATGTGTATAACAAGTTAGTGAACACTTAACAAAATATTGTATTATTTTTTTTTCTTTCAGTTTACTGTATTTGGTTCATTACTACATCCTAGAGTAAAAAAACTAAAAAAAAGGTATAAACCAAAAAGTACAGATCATTTCAACCTAATAGATTCATTAAAAATATCACAGGACTTATCAAATCATAAGTGTCAAATAAAATATGCCTCGGAAAGTTAATTATAACAAAAATAGATAATGCCAATAAATAAATTCATGATTATTTTGTTTAAGAAAATAAACTATAAGGATAAAAATTATTATTCGAAGAATTAAATTATTATACAAACAAAAAACTGTTTATATAATATTAATATAATGGAAATAGACTCTTAAGCGTCTTTTAATGTTGGATAGTGAATAAAATATATTTTTTTGATACATCCTTATATAGTCATCATTAATTAATATAATATTTTAAAATTATCATAAGCATATATGTAAATAAATTGAAATTTATTAATTTATATAGTTAATTAGAGAAAATGTATCCATACATACATAATATGTATTATCTATTTTCATAAATAATAATTATAAAAATGAAACAAATATTTTTCAAATATACATGAAATAATAAAAGGAAATATATATAGAAAAAAATAAAATTTGAAAAAATAATAAACTTTTTTTTATATACCATTAGATAATAGATTAAATTAATAAAATATTTATAAAGAACATCTCATTTGTGCAGCTACATTAACCCATGAATTCTGTAGTGTTCATGGAATCTCGGAAGCACATAATTAATATATAGCAAATATGGTCGTATAAAAGAGGAAATATAATCTATAATAATAATAATATATTTTATTAATATAAGTAGTTTTAATTAAAAAAATAAATTAATTGTTAACATCAGTGAACTATATACATTGTGGTTTTATCACGAAATTATGTACATCACTTGTACTGTTGCACAAAAAAAAAGGTATATGCTAATTTTGTGAGTAATAGCATGTTATGTTAATTAAATTACATATATAATAATATATGCTTAATTATAATATATAACCATTATAATTATTGTAGAATGATTATTATTTACACAATATATTGTTTTATAAGTCGTATAAAATTGTATTCCTTATGATAACTACTACATTCACTGCAGTTATTTTAGTACATATATGTATATCACTATTTAATAAATGGTGAATTAAAAATATATTAAATGTTAATTTTAGACACCATCTATTTTAATATGAATTATTTCGTAAATTCTTAAGTTTTCAGCATTGCATTATTTAAATCTAAAAATAGAAATATTTTTAACAAAAAAGCATAAATATATAATATATCTTTTTACTTTTTCTTCATAAACTAAAATTAAATGTTTTATAATAGACAAATATTATTCATTGAATTTTTTATGATCATATAAGCATAAACACAAGACATTAATAAAATTACACTTAAAATATATAATAAAATGAAACGTATTAACTTCATTTGATGTATGGTTATCTTTCCCTTAATTATATAATAGGTTAAAATTTAAAACTTTTTTATGTATATGTTTTTTAATTCATCTAATATATATATATATTCACATATAAATATTTGAAAAAATTGTATATTATAATGCATTTCATTCTATATTACACTGTACATACAAAATATTTCATTAATGTATTATTACAAATTATTAGTGTTTTATAAAAATTATTTTTATATATAGATATATGCAAATGTGTATTCACAATATTAGGTTATATATATTTTTTCAAATGATTAAGAGTATACGCGAATTATTCATCATTCATTTGATACATATTTCCAATATCTGAAATGATTTCTTACAAGGCGAGTTCTTCTGATTATTCACTTGTATATTAATAATGATTCTCTACATTGGAATATGTGTTTTATTCTCTACATATATAACTAACGAAAAAAACGCTTACGAAATTTTATAAATTTTAAATATTTAATTTTTTCATAAATACATATATCAATATAATATATATAATATATGTATTTAAAAATTTTATTTTTCTTATGATTAATTATATTAAACATAATATTAACATATTTACTGTATATAAATCTTTTATTTTATAATACAAATCCAATAATATTTTAAACTATTCCATTTATAACGATTATTATAATGGCATATCATATTACACAGATATTCTCTCACAGTTGTTAGAACTATGAATAATATAAATGTATGTTTATTTTTTTTTAAAAAATGAAGTTTTAAGTATATTTGTGTATGTATTGCACCTATTATGAGAACGTTAAAAATAAAATATATAAATATAAAGTATGTGAAGGAAATGATTAAGAGTCATCCATTCTCAATATTACCACAATATAATTAATTAAAAGCCACGCTAATCAATAATTATTTTTTGAAGGTGTATTACCTAAAATTAATGAAACTTGTATATATTAAATTCTAGATAAAATCTCTATTACAAAAAACTTCCAATATTACATATTATTCCTATATAACATAATATGAAATTGGTTTTTTTAATAGAAATGGTTGTAAAGTTCATATAAATTGTGTCATTTTTCTTAACAGATTAACCAAGTTAATTCATGTTTAATTGTAAATTATTTATTTATGATTATTTTACTCTTGGAAATATAGAATAATAAAATATAACAAAACAAAAGAAATTAAACTAGTAGTAAAAGTTAAAATTAGTAATTCATAAAAATAAATATACTGAAAAATATTTTGTTTTGTAAAGAATAAATAAAGTAATAATTAAAATTTTCTTTTTTCCCTATATCATGTTTCACTTAATTTATATTTATAAAAAAAAAAAAATTAAAATATATTTATACTTTAAAAACATTATTTCATTTACACAAATGTTGCACTTTTTTATATAATAGAATCTACTTCCATGGATACATGAGAAAATTATTGAAATAGAAAGATATAACTTGGATTCTTATACTTTTTAAATAATGTTTTTTTATATCATATATTTTCGTCGCTCTTTAAAGTAAAAATGTTATTTATGTTTGTTATATTTATATTTTCATAAATGTAAAATAAATATATAAATAATTTTTCAGTACGTTTAGTATTACGAAATAACAAGAAAAATAAAAATTACAATATATTATAATATAATATTCTGGAGCTAGTATATATCATATGATAATTAATATCATATATCAATTTTTAAACGGTAAAATTTATTATATATAATTTGTACATTAATTATCACATATAAAACGAAATTTCCTAAATAAATAAGAATGAATCTTATGTAATCGAATTATTGTAGATGTTCTATTTAATATATAAAAGAAAGAACACTTGTGTTCCTTATCACATGTATTTTTAGTAGAACTATAATTGATATTATAATTGTATAATATTAAAAATATGATATAATTCTATTAAAGATAATATATTATATATTAAAAAGTAATATTTTTCATAATATTATATATGTGCTCTAGACAATTTTGCTTATAATATAATTTAAATTATTATGTTCTAGCACAGATGAACTGCGTATTATTTAATAATGTAATTATATGTAAAAAAGTTACAGTAATAAAGCATAATGTATATAACATATACAGAAGAATCCATATAATACATACATACTTTTTTAACAATTAAAACTAATAATCTTAAAAAAAAATGTCAAATTTTATAGAACAATAAAGGACATTTATATAATTGCATATCTTGATTTTTCAAAGAAAAATATCCCCAATTATGTGATTATATAATAATTAAATTTTAAAATTTTTACATATTGTTCTGTTATTATAAACTATATATTAATGTATAGATATTATTCATAATTTATATGTTAGATTTAGTCTTCATAAAGTATATTTTAGAAAAAATATAGATATTTATGTTCTATTGTATTAGTAATTTATTAAAAAAATACTTTTCTGTAAACTCGAAAACAACACTGTGAATTATTATTTAAACGAAACTTTTATAAAAGGGATTAACCTATATGATGTCTTATGCAAATAAGGATATTATGAGCTTATATATATCTAATTATGTAAAAATTATTTATTTAATATAATTCTTGAGATGATAAATATAATTTCCACTCACACAGATATTATTGTAAGCATTTCATGTTTTATAAAAATATTTCTTTGATAATTATATCTTTATAACATACACAAATATGTTATTCTAGTTTTTTGTATATCGCGTTGTTATATTATTCCATTTAGTATAAATATGTAACTGTTTTTGGTCTACAAAATAAAATATTCCATATTTATTGTAGTGATAAATATATTCGTACGGGTAAAAACTATTGTAAACAAAAACAATCGAATTATAATTATATTTAAAAACATTTTTATAAAAATAAATTCCTCAAAACATTTTTTCATTTAAATCAACATAAAACAAGCGTTCACGCAAGGGGCAATGACATAAGATATACACATTAATATTACTGGATATATGCTAACCATTGGGGGAAAAAAAGTAATAATTATGTTTAAACAATTAATAGTACAATATTGAATGATCATAATAATTTAGATGAGGCAAGAGGCAATAATTATAAGGAAAAAACTACAGATACTGTATTGAAGAAGTTTAATGATATATATGATGTAATTCGTAAGCTTATTAATTATAATTACCGTTGCATAAGTGATAACACTGTTATTATCCCAAGGATATACATTAATTATATATGAAATACAAAATTACCTCAGAATTTAATATATATCCATTTATTTCAAATATATTAAAACACAATTTATGCCAATGTAATAAAAAAAAATAGCTCACAATCCTGGTAACATTAAAAACAAAATATTACTTTTATTCCCTAAAATAATAAAAACATTCCTATTTTAAACTCAATTATTGTGCTTTAGGAAAATACTTATTATTAATTAGTCTTTGCAAGGTTAATTATTAAGTTAATGATAAATATTTGTATTGTGCAATAATGACCTAGAAAATATTAATAAAATAATCTATAAGTTATATTTTTTTAACAATTTTTCTTTTTATTTATTAGTTTACGCCATTATATTCTTACATATGTCGTGTAACAAAAAGGTTAAATATTAAGTGAAAAAACATAACTGATGAATACAATATTTTGCAATGTTGTGATATTATAAGTAATATATCAAAAAATAGAAGATATTATATTTAATATTATACATCCTAACTTTAAAATTAATTATATAAATGTCTCTATACAATTATTTTATTTAAACAACACAATAATATGGTTAAACAGAATAATATGACGAATATATCTCATAATATCATAATATAAAGCTATAATATTACTCATAATAGAAAGAAATATATAATAATTTATATAAGGGATTATAAAATTTCTAAAGAAAAAGTCCATTTATATATAAAATATAAATTTGTTTGTCTATAAATATTGAAGAAAATTTTTACGAATATACGTTATGGTTGTCATCAATTAACATACGATGATTTTCATAAATGTATGATCTCTATTATGGGGAACATTATAGTATAATTAAAATAATAATATGATTTATATATTTATAGATTAACATTCCTGAGTATTCAAAATTGTGATTTTAATTGAATACATTGGACACAATTAATGTCTGCACATAACATTCTATTGTTAAATATAATATCACAAAAGGTTCATTGGTATTTATAAAATACACTTTTATATTTAATTATTAATTCTAATTGTTTACAATTGTTATTATGAATTTTGTTACGAATAAATTTAAATCCTTCATTATTTGTTTTATTAGTGCGTGGAACTTTAACACATAGATATTTATTAGAGTACACATGTACGCATATTATAGAATAAAATGTGTATGCTACTTATTTGTTTTTTAATGGTATATTCTCAATTTATAAGTATTTTATTTTTTTTTCTTTTTTGGATAATGTGTAATCTTATTGTATTTATTATCTTTCTATAGTAATTTCACTAGAACAACTATAAACATTGTTGAAAAAATAAAGAATGAGTTATATACATGTTTAAGGAGGTAATTACACACATACACATTTTATATATGTCAAAAATGAAAATCCGTTGATTAATATATTAAACACTGACCATGATACAATTATAATATTTCATTTTTATTATACAGAGTTGAAAAAATAAGAAATAATACATAGAGAGATATTTCATAATGAACATGCAGCTGGTTAATTATTACACACTTGCATAATAAAATAACTACACATATTTATACATATAATATATAATGTATAAACTATAAGTACATAATATATATATAAAAATGGGTATAAGTAAAAGTTAATTCTTCTGTACGAAGAAAATAGTATTCCCTATATATTTATGTTACATTATTTTACGAATATAGTAAGCTTGAACTTCATTAAAATTATTTTTTTAATTAAAATATTCAATTTTAAAATATTTTCAATTCATTAAAAAGGAAAAACATTTTTCCTCATGTTCGATAAATGTGTATAAAAACATGTTATTATATTTTACTTCTTTATGAAACCAGAAATATTTGTTTGTAATTTTTTAATATGTATAAGTTTCATTTACCAGATAATATATTAAATAATATTTCTATGTATAATACATTTGAAAAAAATTTATAACAAAAAAAAAAAAAAAAGCTGGCATTTTAATAAAATATATGCATATATCAACCAGAATCATGCCCTTATATATATTTTTTTATCCTTAATATACATGTAAATACTAATCATATAATTCTGAATAATAATATATATGCCTACTTAATGAAGCTGCGCCCTTATAGTTAACATATTTATGTTGTCAATGTCATAAAATATTAAATTTATTTTTTTGTAGTAATACATGTGTGTTATTAATGTTATGATATTTTGCAATTATTCTATAAAAAAAAGAGATTTTTAAATATGTATGATGATAAAAAAGCTTCAAATATTCTTGACTATGTAAATAAATATAATTACCTCTCCACATCGATATTTTTAATTTATTTTGTTAAATTTGTCATATAATGAAAATATTAATCTTTCTGTAATATATATAGACGTGTAACGGATACAAGTATAGCTAAAAATATATATATATAAAATTCTAAATAAAAATTTCCCATTAGATTTGTTTTAAATATTTTCATAATATAACAAAAAAAATAATATTTCTATATAAAAATAGTTATTGTCGAATAACGTATAAATAAGTCTGTAATTGATATGGCATGTAATTTTTTAAAATTATATAATTTTATTTTTTACATATTTGGATTTTATGTTTCAAAAAAAAAATTTAAACATTATTCTAAATTAAGAAATATATGATAAGAATATCAAAATTCGTTGGGTTTTATTATTCCAATAACTGGGATTATATAAGAAAATACAAAAATTAAATATATTTCATATATAGCCATTTTTGAAATTTTATATTCCTTATATTTATTTTTTTAGGATTCTAATTTAATTATAATATAGAATATAGTTTTGATAAAAACAAATCTATATATTTTAATCAATTACATATTTCTTTTCCATAAATAATTATATTTTTATAATAAAATATATATTTTATAAATTATACTGTAGCTTATAATAAGCATGTGATCATAATTTGTCATTTTCTTTATTTTATCTAATATTTATAATCTCAATATCACATGAAAATAAATTTTAATATATTCTTATATAGTTCCTTTTTTTTATAATACTTTTTTCAATTATATATATATTTTTTTTTTTTTATCAAACAAACCTTTGCAATTATATTATTTATCTAATACGTTTTTATAAGTACATTTCTTAGAAATATAATATATGGCTTACATAAAATGTATGATGATATATAAAATATTATAATATCATATATAAAAATTTAATTAATAAAAAAAAATTCTTACTTAAATTTCAGTAATGTCTATATTTGTTTATAGTCAAAATATTAATTATAATATGACTTGCCATTAAACTTATTAACATTGAAACAGTATAAGATTTTCGAGAGTCTTATAAAAAAATTGGAATAAATAATGTTCTGCGTTCGTTAATACATTAGAATAAATATTTACAAAATCGTATATATTAATAATTGTTAAATATATAATAATAAAAAATATATTCATTAAAAGCATGAAACATTGTAAAATATAAAATTATTTCAAATTTTAAATATAAAAAATATGAATTATAATTTTTATATGTTAAATTGTGTATTAAATAAATATAATTATATTGATAAAATAACTTTTACGTATTAATTCGTGTTTAATTTCAATCAAAATTTATGCGAACTTATGGGTAGTATCTAATAATCTGTTTTTCTTAATTTATAAAAATTTATTTATTTTTTCATTTAAAAAATTATTATAAAAAAAATTTGAAAATATAATATTATTTAAAAAATTTTTTCATATTACTTATTATAAAATCATTATATATATATTGATTATACTGATTCCCGAGTAATATCTCAATATATATTTGGATTACAGACCATGGAAGACAAATAGATAGAAGGAAAAGTAATATATTCTTTTAACATTATATATCGCCCTAAAAAATTCATATTCAAAAAAGCATATCAGTATATATTTTGTAGAAACACAAAATAAGTATGTGATTTCATATCTTAAAAAATAAAAAAATCTTGTTATTTTTTCATCGTATCCCATAAATTATACTTATTATGCAGAAGATATATGAATATTCATCCATAAATAATTTTTTTTCCCAAGAATACAAAATTGATAATATGAATTTAAAAAAAAAAAAATATAAATATGTGGGATATATATAATAAGTATATAACATGAAAATTAATAGAAATAAATATTCTAATATAGTGCAAAAATTATGCTAATTATTATAAATTGTAGAAATATGTTTTATATATTTTTATTTTACAATATATATAACTATATGTAATATAAATGTAATAAATATTACATATGATACATAGTATTAATTATATTTTTTATCAATAAACATGATGTAAATATAAAATATGTAATTATATAATATATGTAAATAAATAAATAATAAAACTATTTCGTTTATATGAATATCGTGTTGTAATAGCAATAAAAAATATCATATATGTACTATTATTAAAAATTATATACCTATTTCTGATAGTTGATTACTTTAATGAATACGTAATAAGTCATATTTAATAATATGAACTAGGTTCTCCAATCTTATATATATGTCCAGAATATATGTTATGTAAAATTATATATATTATTATGTAAACATTAGTAATATATAAATATATATATTCAAATAAATTATTGACATCCATGTGATATATTTTATTTCTTTTTATATTACTAATATAACAATATCATTTTCATATAATAAAAACTTTTTTATTACGTTTTAATAATATATATTATATAATTTTTTTTTTTAAGTAGTATGTATTGTTCTTTATTTTTGGGTTCATTAATTGAATGATATACTCCCTCAAATAAATAATTCCATATTTATAACTGAAAAAAAAAATAATGATCAATTATTTAAATCTTATTATTGCATTATTTTTATATTTATTAAAAAGAATGACAAATATATTCTATATATAAAGATATTACTTATAAATAATTATGTATATATTAATGTTTTTCATTATTATTTTATGTTTACTGAATACAGAATATATTTTTATGTAGATGGAGAATAATATTGTATTTTTGTTTTAATATAATATTATATTATCAGATATAATAATTGTTTATTTTTTATTACACATTTATTATAAAAATTACTTTTTCTCTATAATACTTTTTTTGTTTTATTTCCAATTTTTAGTATGATTATATAAGTTCATTCCCTGAATGCAAAAAGGAGTTAAAAGTTCAAAAAGCTAAAGTAGATACAAGTTATACAAATGAATGTGAAAAAATTATGAAAATATATTTTCCTGATGATAGTTCGAATAATAATATTATTTGCACCACATCTATGTCATATATAGATAATTTATCCCGTTTTAATATTGATATACCTAAAAATATCCTTTGTTCATACTTGTATTATTGGATATATCATGAACTTTTGAAAAAAGGTAAAAGTTGTGATACAAAAAATCTTTACAAAAAATTTATGAGTATTTATAATTATGGGGGCATACATAACCCATGTCAATACTATGCGGACAATATTACTTCCAATGATAATTTTGAAAAAGTCAAATATTTATATGAAACATCACTATGTCTTAACACAATAGAACATGATGAAGAAGAAACTGTAGACAATCCTTTTTGTAAGGCATTAAAAGATATTATTAATAATTATAATGATGCAAATATGTCTAAATTATGTAAATGTGATAAACAAGAAATGTCATCCTCTATACAAACTAATACAAAGGATATTATTATAATTTCAATTCTTGTTACATTAGTAATATTGCTGTTGTTATTTTATGTCCTTAAGGTTAGTTATGATATTATTCCAATATATTTTTACTGAAAAGTAAAAATTTTAAATTATTTATAATGAAATATATTAATAATAAAAATAATGTATGCTTTAATACATATATTTTTTTTTCCAAATGAAATAGTATACCTCATTTTATACACACTTAACCTATAAATTAAAACGTAAAATAAATGAGTTCAAAAATGAAGATGAAGAAATGAATATGTTGCATCAGTATGAAGATTTTAAAAGTATATCAATAAATAATGGATATAATATAGTGTATAATTCAGATTAATCTAGGAAAAACTTATAGCTATAAATTCATACTTTTCTAAATATAATGAAAGCGTAATCACATATATAATGAACACATGTGTAAATTAATAATAAATGTGAAATAATTTTAATTATATAATGAAACAAAAAGAAACATAAATTGATATTATTCATGAGAAATTAGTTATCAATATATTATATGTGATTAAGTAAAAATGAATTTTGTAAATTTATAGGTTTAAGTTTCAAAATTACAGATATATTTGAAAATTTTAAATATAAAAGTTTCATGAATACAATTTAATAATTATGATTTTGAATATAATCATGAATGATAAGACACTTAATATTTAATTTTTATTGTAATTTTTTGTTCCTGTATTTTCTAGTTTCTAGTAATTAACAAACATGTTTTTATTTTACAATATACTGTATTTATTAATTAAATCTAAATATCATAATTTATATCATCTAACATGCATTGCTATATTTTCATTATCTATGTAATATATGTAATATATTTAGTATAATTTAATTATTAATCTATTATATATATTTATAAAATGTATTATCAATTTTAAAATATAATATAATTATAGATGTATAAAGCAGATATAGGAACATATGTATGTTTAAATTATATGTTTGCTTTCTAAATATTATATAATTATCATACATGTTATTCATTTATAGTAAATTTATAACGGTTATTTTTAGAATTACTAATTTATATAATATATTATGTTTGTTTAAATTGAACAGTTAATTGTTAATTAATAAATTAAATAATATATCATTTATTAAACTTTTTTTGTATTTAATTTTTTTTTTTTTGGTATACCTAAATAATTATGGCAATAACTGTGATAAATATAAGTGCAAATTTTATTTACTATAACAGAATAATACATGTGAAATATATTTCTTTCAATAAATCAAATGAAATCTTGAATATATTGAAAATTAAAGTGGCTCATTAATATATAAATTTTTTTATCATAATGTTACATTTAGAATGTGAACTAAAATTTATATATTAATTGAAAGCTATATATAGAAACTTATAAACAATTATTATTCTACATGATAATTCGTAATGATTTATATATTATAGTTTATATTTCTTGATACATCTATTCACAATTTTATAAATTATATATCATTATAATTTATTTTCATAGATGAACATTAATAAATTATTAAATTTGAAAAAATATGATAATTTTATAATATTCTTATAAGTGTGTTTCTTACATTCATTCATTTAAAACAGAATACTATAATTAATTATTTTTGAGTAAAAATTATAGTTAATATATATTAGGACAAGTGAAAATATAAGAAATATTAATTTTTTTTATTTGGGTACAAAATACTAATTGAAATTTCAAAAAATCATGTATATAATTATGACTTCCTTTTATTTATTATAATATAATATGTATTAAAATGTATAATTCTTATTAAGTTCTATAGAAAAATAAAATGAAAGGAACAATATAAATATAAGTATCATGAGTATTTTATTAATTTATTTGTAAAGACATTAATATATTAACACAAACTATAAAAAAAAGTATAATTATATTGTCTATAATAAGAACCAATATATTAATTATAAAAGTATAATTATTATGAAATATATCATAATCTAATATTTTCATAATTCAAGACAATATTTACATTATGTTGTATTGTAATTGATTTTATTGTCTAATTTATCTAAAAATAATTATTTATATATTTTATCATTTAAAAATTTTGGAAAGATCCTAACATAATTTTTCATGCTTTAGTAATCAATAATTATTCTCTTGTTTTCCTTTTATGAATATTGATAATTTGGTGTAATATAAGGTTAATTATAGTTTTTGATTCTTGTATGTCCCTCATGTTTTTCTCCTTCATCCTGTATGCCATAAATACTAAAGATTTTATATTGAAAAATATTCATAAGATAAAAATAATAAATGAGTAAATAAATAATTCTTTTATGCTAAAATTGATTAATATCTTTCGCATAAAACAAGGAATATCTCTATAAAAAAAAAATTTATATATGTAATAGTGGAACCTTAATATTAATCGCGTGATATTTATTAAATTTTATACAGTGTTACAAGTTTTATATATAGTATTCATAGGACATAATAAGATTTACGTAATTTAATATATTTTATTAAAATCCATCGTTTATATAAATAAGAATAATAAATTTACTAATAATTCTTCAATTATTATTAATATACACACCTGAACCTATATATGATATACGCATGTTTATTAAATTTACACACACATCAATATATATATAAAGAATTAAATAAATAAAAATATAAGAGAGGAAGAAATTATTGATTATGAGAAAAAAATTTCCATATAATTAATTATAGTAAATAATTATTCTATAATCATACTTTTATAAGTACAAGATGACTAATATAGTGTTATTCAATATAATTTATAATTATATTAATTTAAGAACAATTTGTCAATGTGAAATTTTATATAATAAAACAGCAATTCTATACTCCCCTAAAATAATATTATTACACACTTTATTATATTTTGTATAATTAATTAATAATATATATCTTACAATTTCCTCATGCATTTATAAAATAATGGAAATACTATGAAATTAATATATTTCATCATTTTTATTACAAAGACATATACAATAAAAAATAACATGTTTTTTTTTTCAAATTCACTAGTAAAACGCCATAATTTATGCACTAAGGCATGAATTAAAAAGCATATTTTTAATTAATTATTAAAATTATTATTTATATTAATTGTAAAAAAAATATTGTTAATGAAAATGAAGAGGCATAATAAAAAATAATCATAAATATATTATAAGTATTTTATTTGTATGAATTTCAATTTTACATATATATTAATGGCATATTTCCACGTAGACAAAATAAATATAAAGAAACTAAATACTTTTGCAATATATATAAAAATTATTATAGTCTATATAGAAGCATACATGAAGTTTAAAAAAAATTTATTCACATAAGCCAATGTAGTGGAAGTATCTTTTTAAACACATTTAACATAACATAAATTTAAATTATATGAGAAAAATAAATAATTGTAAATATGGAATACGAAATTTCAAATATGTTTGCTACAATTCATTAACTGAACTAAAACATTATATTATAGCATATAAATACATTGTGATTTTTTCCAATTGTTAAAAGCCGTAGATCTAGGCTAAAAAATTAATGCTCGTAGGTTTAATGCTTTAAGTTTCATATATATATATATATATATATTTATCGGTTTGTGATCAGATTTCCGAGTTTGTTTCAATATTTTATTTTTTATATATAGTGTTGTTGGTTTATATATTAAACTATGAGCATAAGTTCTGAATCTGTATAATATCTGTGAAAATACATGAATATATCTGTTATTTTATATTTTTTTATTATATTTTTGTTATGTTATAACATATTTTTCCTATTGTTATTTACAAGTGTATGGGTTTTTCTATTATAATATCTTATAAGAGAAACATGAAATAAATTAAATAATATCCTATTATTTACAATAGAGACAATATTTTTATTTTTTTGTACTGCCTGCTACATTACATATATATACATCTTATATATTAGTACAATTAATAAAAAATTGGCATAAGTTATATTATAATTATATTTTTGCATATATAATAATATAATTTTATTTAGATTACTCATTATACATTAATTAATATGTCACATTATTTATCATAATGGAAATATTTTTATTTTTATCTAATATCTTATGTTCTATGAAATACTTAATATTTACTTCTTATATATATATTGAAATATAAAACTATAGCATATATTATATACACATAATTATAAAAAAATTACTTTGTTGTTCATTTTTATACAATATCCTTATACTATATATATTATAATATATTAAAAAGCAATAAAGGCCTTAATTTATATTATTGGATATATTTTTATATATAATTATTTTATATTAATATTGAATAATTAGTAATATATTATTTTAATATATAATTATATTTCCTTTAATATGTACTTACTATTTTATATTGATAATAGATTTCTTATGTTGAATCATAATTTATTTGTAACTTATTTGATTTTTATTTACATTTATATGCATTAAAAAAAGATAAAATCCATTTTTAATGTTTATACGTGAATTTGTTTCCTTTACTTCGACACTTAATATTTAGTATTGTATATAATGACGAAAAAGATTAAATAAAATAATTTAATAATATAGCACATAATTTAGTATATGAGTTTTATATTTTAATTCACTACAATGAATATAGTAATAAAAAATATTATTTATGTTTTTATACATACTGTTATCATAATTTCGACTTTATTGTATACTTAAGGGAAGTGTTTAAAATTTAAATATAGTAATTTTTTTTTTTGACTCATCTTATTATTTATAATTCCACAAAGGGTTTTTCTATCTATTTGATCGTTTAATACATAGTTTTATTTTCTGTTTTAATTAGATTCAAAAATAAATTATTACATTAAACAAAATAATACATATTAACATAATGAAATATAACAAAAAAAATTTTCTCTATATTTTCTATTTAATTTTCATATAGTGTAATATTCTATGTATTTTTTATACCTAATATATTTATTTCAATTTTTGTTATCTATGTATATTCATGGTTCATTATGTGTGTATATATTAAAATTTTATCTCTTGTTTTTTTTAATATTTTTTCTAAAACAATAAAAAGGTACTCTGCGGTTTTATCATTATATTTATATAGATTATATTTCTAATTACTATTTAATTTCTCAATTAAATGCTCTCTAAATATTTTGTTTATTTACTTAAAGTAATGTTGTATAACTTAGCTAATTTTATTTGTAGTCTTTTGGGATATATGAAATAGGGCGTCTGCTAATTGTTGAATCTTGATAAAATTTTTCAAAAGAATCCATTGTATCTCGATAATCTTTATTTTCATTTTTCATGAACATTCTCTTTAACTTCATTATGCTTGGCTGTACAAATGAGCTACATCGGGTGTACTAATGAAAATGAAGAAATGTCATACTTTTATGAAAATACAATTTATTTTATGCACATATTTCATATTAACATGTAAAGAAGAATCTATATGATTATAAAAATTTCATAAATTTGTCTCATTTTAACCTTATACAGAATAAATATAATTATTATTATTATTGAAAAACATAAGAGAACAAACCCTGTTCTCATTCCTTGAGTGCATCCTGCGCTCATAGCTGTGATTATCTCTTCCGTCATTTCTTTGTTCCTTGCTACACTTACTTGGATGTCAGTGCCACTTTTAGTAGAATGTTTTAATTCTACATTAGCACTTGCACAATTGGGTAACTTACCGATATGTGTTTTATACTTATCATTAAAAAATTTTAGTACTTCCACAAAGGATGTGTTATATTTACTTTTAGATTTATCTAAAAGTTTTAAATATTCTTCAAAAGCATTAATTAAATGACATGATAATTTTCCATTTTTAGCATGGTAAGAAACACCAGATACTTTATCAAGATAACTTAAGGTCAAATGTAAATCTTCATCAATTTCTTTAAAATCATCCTTACGAATATCACATATATTGTAATCTATTGTTTTACGTATATCTGCGTCTTTCATTCTTTTTAAAAATTCTCTTGTTGATGCACATTCGTATCTATAATTCTCAGTAAAAATTTTTATCTGATAATATAAATAATTACAACTAGCTATTTTATTAACCTCTTCTTTTTCATTTTGTTCTATGTGTTGTAAATATATATAAAGACTTATACAATCAAATAATATTTTATTTACCGTTGCACGATCCTTTATTACGCTCGTTGTAAATTTTATACATGGTTGCATGAATTTATCAAAACCACTCTTCAATTTTGTTTCATCTGTTAATGAATTAAAAGCTTCTGTACATTTGGGAAACATATCTTTAAAATTATACTAATGATGAAAGGAATAACATAAATAAAAATTTTATATAATTTTTGAACAGAATATATTTAGCATAGTTCATAGTGATAACGAATCATAAAACTGGTTAATATAAATTATAATAACATCTATAATCGCACCTGTGAGTTCACACTACTGGCAATAGTCATTTTTTGCATATGTGACTTATTAAACTAAATGTTTTGGTATATATATTTATAAACTTATTATTAAATAAATAATATCTATCAACCATTATATATAATATATTTATAAATTAATGTAATTATTTTAGCTCTTGATAATTTTTTCACATTTATGTATATGTTAAAATCATAAACATTGCACTGTGATGGTTGTATTCATATATGCTATACAGATATTAATTTATCAGTTTAGAGTTATAAAGTTTAAGTTTAGGGTTTAGTTATATAATATATTTATAATGTTACACAGAGCATTGTCGAATATGTGTATTATTTCTATATAAGCACTGAAACGCTATGTTTAACTTTTTAATCTTAAATATGTTATATATATAATTATAAGTGTCTAGATAATCATATATATGATTTTATAATGTATAAGTTTTATTATTAGCATAAGAGATGTGGTATTAAAAAAAATATATATATAAATACAGAAATAATATCTAGAACTAGAGTTATTGTAATAATATTTTGCACTCACAATATTTCTATTAATTTACATATTATCTATTAATATATTCTTAATGAGTTATAATATAAAAATATTATATTATTAGAGCTTTAATATTAGTATAAGAATTTATTTATTTATTATTAATTTAAAATTAAAAAAAAAAAATATTCTTTGAGGACATTTATATTAAATTTATATATTTATAATACGTCAAATAAATGTATTACAATATGAATTAATTATTCTAATTATATATATTTCCACTTTTTAATATAAAATATGTATAATCATAGAAATGTATATTGCTTATTGCTATAATATTATATTAAATATTCTTTTCAATGTGAACTTTTAGTTACATAGCTCTGTAAAAGTGATATTGTTTAATTTATATAATTTTTGAATTTATTATAGATTATAATATTTTATTTTTTCTTAACTTGCTTTTGATTTAGATTATATTTGTAAATTGGTTAAATATATGTATATAATTTCTTTAAAATCTCTTTATATGAAAAAATTCATATGGTTCTTTATTAAAGATAATATAAAACTTTTTTTATTTGTATTATGATATGTAATTTGTTGAAAAACAAATAAAATTAATTATTTTTAATGAGTATCACATATATTATTATTATATATTTTTTACATGTATATTTTATATAATGAGACGTAATTTACTAATGGCTTTGTTCTATAATCAATATAGAAAGTATGGAGTTATAAATAGCTTATCATATAATACTAATATATGAATGGTATTTTCACAATTTATATTAATTATATGTGCATATTATTTAAATATTTATTTCAATTCTTTTTTTTTTTTTAAATTTAATTTTTATTTTCAACTTACTCTATTATATTTCTAAATTTTTTTTGAATATTTCTAGTTAATATACATTTCTCAATGCATTATCTACGTTATATACATATTATTAACATTGTCACAAGATACAAAATAGAAATAATTAGGGTTAATTATTTATATTTATCGTGGTATTGAACATTTTCAAAACATATATAGGCTGTGTACAGAAATATACCAATTTTAATATTTTTACATAATATATTAAAGTATATATATATTCCTATTTTGTTTACGAAATAATTTGAATATATACTATTCGATATATATTAGTAGGGAGGACGTATCCTTAAAATATACATACAGTATGTTTTCAAATAAATGTTGTTAGAATGCTTTATAAATCCTTATTGATTTATAATAATTTTTCTTCAATAAAAATATATTTTTCAAATTTTATTTATGACTTCAAAAAATATATATATATAAAATATTATAATAAGATGTATAATTTAATGGTTTATAACTGTTATTTTTTTGATTTTACTGAGGGAATCTTTTATACAAATTTACTATCATATTTGATAAAATATATATGAATTCGGAAAATCATTATAAGGCGCAAAAAAATTGCAATATACATTTACAAAATATAGAAATATTATGTCATATGTTTTTAATTAATATCACCAATTATGAATAAAGTATACATATATATTTGGAAACTTATTACCTTTACATATTTGCACATGATATAAGAAATATGGATTTACCTTATAAAATATAATAATTGATTGTAATATTAAAATATTATTAAATAAAAACAGCTACTAAAACAAACTATTACATTGCAGTAAAAAATACTGAAACTTATTTCATAAAAAAATATATAATTAAATGCCAACATAATCATGTTAGCATCATCATATAAGAAATAAGTGTTCCATTCAAGCTAAATATAGTGATAAATATTCCATAAAAAAATATAGGCCCTATCTCCTATACTAGCAATGATTATGTGCATAAATAATTTAAGCAAAAATTCTCTTTTAAAAAATAATATTAAAATCTATTTATATATTTAGATTTAAGAATTTTGAAAATAAATATTAGGAAATTAAACGGATAAGCACTTAACTTTAATGTATAATGAAATAAACAAAAAACTTAAGTTCATGAAAAATAACAAAATGATTTTTTATAATTATTCTTACTTCTGAACATTCCTTACAACTATGTATTATTTTTCATTATTTTATAAGTATATTACAATACCTAAAATTATTTTATTTTTTACTCTAGATTTTTTTCATTAAATATAATTTATTTTCCTTATTATATAAAAATATGAAAGAATTGTATTATTTGCTTTACATTTTATTTCCTAAATATAACTCTCAGCTTTGGAAAATCATATAAGTAAAATTAAGATGAATGTTATAATACACATAAATATATTATCAGATATATTTTAATAATTTTACGAAGAATTAAACATAGGTATTCTAATAAGAGAAGAGTGAATATAGAATGTTAAACACATTTGTTTATTCTAAATAATGTGCCATCGAATTATGATTTAATTAAAATATCTATATTTCTATCTGTACAAATATGGTCATTAAAATAACATTTACAGGCAAAGTAGATATGTATGATTAATTATTCTACGTACTATTTTACTTCGAATTATTGCATTTAGCGTATTTAAAGCATTATGATATAATAGTACATATATATATCTTTATTTTTTTTAAATCATTGTTTCTGATTAAGTATTTTGGGTATAAATATAATGTAGAATATATCATTCGTTATAAAATTTTCTACTTTAATTATTTATCATGAATAAATAATAATTTTCCATAAAATAATTAGTATTTATTTTATAAAATTCAATGTTTTAATAATGAATTATCATATACGTATCAAAATCATGAATAAATGAATTATATGAAATCACAAAAGCAATAGGAATCATGTTAATTAAATGTTAATTAAAAAGTATTTAATTTTAACAAACATAAGCTTTTATTTGAACAACCAGAATAATACATTCAGAATAAAAATTTTACTAAGATAAATGTAACATCCAACAATATATTAAATGGATAATTTTATTATAGAATTGTAATATATATATAATATAAAAATGCAAGTTTTTTATAAAACTTCCCTTATTTGTTGCATAAATTATTTATTGGAAGTTCCATAATATAATACGGCATAATAAATTGTTCAAATATTTTATTTCCATCAATATTAAATAATTATTACACTAAATTATTATAATTTATCATTTCCTAGTTTTATTATATATATTTTTTTTGATGCATGATGTTCACACTTAACTAAAATAAATGTATAAATGAATTAAGATTATAATAATATATATGATGCACTCAAATAAAAAATAAAAAAATTAATAAGAATATAATTTTTATCTAAATAATGGAATACATAATGTAAATTTAATATTCTTGACATAAGAAAATGATTTTTTCAAACGTTGTTCTAAGTTTAGCGATGTTATGATTTAAGTCTGAATTCATAAGAGGAAACAATCTCCCTCCTGTTAACTTCTAATTAACATGCGAATTTTTTGCTAAGATCTTTTTTTCTATCGTTTCATTATTTTCTTCTATTATTTTATCTTGTGTGTGAAGTTTTTTCTTTATTGAATATTATTCAACTTCAACATCCGAAAGATATGAAATATTATGCAGCACTAATCCCTGGGTGATATTTTTTACATTAATTATAATATTCCACCTATTTCCTTTCATCGGATTATGTACAAGGTCATTTAAGCATCATTTTAATTTTTCATTATTTTAAATAATCGCGCAATAATTTCTGCATTTATAAAATTATTATTATAAGTATTTCGAATATAATTAAAATAGGCATAATAATCATATAATTTTTTTCTTTTTTCCAAATAATTTTCAGATATCATATCAAATTAGGGATTATATTTATTATAAAAATTCCCTTTTTGTTGTATTCAACAAGAGTACTCCACTGTAATGACTTCGCTAAGTCCGAGTGTGATATTAGTAGTATCAGTAGAAGCATAAATTTCAATTAATACTTATTTAACTAATAATTCAAAAGATTACATTTAATATATTCAGAACTTCTTTCTACTAATGGACCATATTTAGTTTTTAAATATTTTAGGATTTATTCCCGAAAATTTCTAAGAATACTTTATCTTATACGAATTTAATGAACTATACATTGAATAAAATTTTTTTATCCCTTTATGATAATTCATTAAAGTATAATATAAGACATCATGTTGCCGTTAAACTTGAGCTACCCATAGCCACTTCCAATAAAATAAATAAATATATTGTAGAAAAATTGCTAATCATTAATAAGAAAAAGAATTTGTTATTAAATTATAAAAAATTAGAATATATGTTCAATGTAAAATAATATCAATGAATACGTTCACTGATTCCGAATTATTGGCATGCTGCGATCAAAGAATCTTACAAATTTAGAAGGATATTGAAAAGAGGATATAAATATATATGATGTTTCCATGAAATAGAAATATATTGTGATATAACCACTTATGAAATTATATTATTCTATAGGACGCTTATTTTATTGATAGTTCCCTATTTATTGTATAATGAAAATAATATATAAATAATTTAAATAACAATATTAAATTCAGAAATT